AAAAAAATGCACACCATTGTTGCTGGGCAGATTATCTGTGTCATTCGTAGATGAGGCCTATAGTTAGGCTCAATTAGATTCAAAGAGAAACAGTTTGGTAGAATACAAGTTTCCCATTCTTCAACAGAAATGTGGGATGCTTTTAAATAGCAAGTTCTACAAGTGAGGGCTTATGAAAATCCTTTTCTGTAGCTAAGATGGCTGCTCTCTTTTCCCCCCATACCAAGCATCAAATCCTAGTGTGGAATTGATGAGGCCTATAGTTAGGCTCAATTAGATTCAAAGAGAAACAGTTTGGTAGAATACAAGTTTCCCATTCTTCAACAGAAATGTGGGATGCTTTTAAATAGCAAGTTCTACAAGTGAGGGCTTATGAAAATCCTTTTCTGTAGCTAAGATGGCTGCTCTCTTTTCCCCCCATACCAAGCATCAAATCCTAGTGTGGAATTTATGCAAACCTCTCAAACCCTAGTTTTCATAGAGAACGAGCTAAAAATTAGTATGCAATGATAGCAAGTGACTCAGCACTGCTGCAATTACTTCAAGCCACGAATCTAATCTGTCCAAGATTCAGGATCCTATCAAAGTGCTCCTAAGCTTCAGGCTGTTTAGCAATAACTATTGGACTGCCATGAATCCCATTACTGGTCGAAATTTGATCCAGGCACAAATAAAAAAAAAATGCTTACAAGTGAACTGAGAGTCCCAGTCACTCAGGGTCTCCTGCTGGGCAGGAGTGAGGTCAGAAAGGTCATCGTATTCATCCTTCAGAGCTTCCTTATCCAGGCAAAATGTGGCGAGGCCCCGGGATGCATCTCTTCCGGCAAAGACCCCATATGGCCCCTCTTTAAAAACAAAACAAAACCAAAGACCAATTCTTCATCAGACTGTCAAGTTTGCTGTAGTTCATTCATAGAAAATGGCTTCCTTACCCATCAACACAGAAAGTAGTTTTAGGATACCCAATTCCATTTGGAAACCATAAGTGTTAATACTCTAATCATTATGTAGTGGATACTAGACCTATTGTTATTGACCTTTTAAAAAACGAAATCAAATTGTTATACATTATCATCCATTTCCAGTGATTTTCAAATGTCTAATTACAAGGCCATAAATCTTGTGAGAGGAGGTGGTGGTAGGGACCGATGCAAGATAAAATGAGTCCACAGGTCAGAATTCAGCTTTAGGACATTGAACCCAAAGCCTGGCTGTTCTGGGTACGTGGGCTACACCAGTGAAAGGTGGTTTCTTAAGATAATAAACACTAAGATTTTAGTAAATGAGGACATTTCCAGTGTATTCTGATGTGTTTTAATGAGTTGAAAGTATTTCATAGATATCTTTGGTTATGATTGTATTAAACAGTAACATGTGGCATCTGCAGGAGAAATCATTTTCTAAGAGTTATCAGTGGTTCAGAAATCTATCCACATGTTACATAATCTTCACTGTCAATAAAGAGTAGAGATCAGCTCTGTTACTTTTTAGTGGGCTTGAAGAGAAAGAAGACTGAAAATCCTAAAACTTTCATGGAAAATAAAGTCTGAATCAATACCCCAATATAATTATATAAAACATTAGAATGCTATTATATATTACACTGAACTTTTGTCTAAGAGAGCAGTGAATCATTCTGTAGGTACTTAAAGTAGATGTTTAAACTTATTTAAATATTGCACAAATAAATGAAAATAATCCAGTGTACTTTAACGTGTTTTTCCAAAGGTTGATTGAGTAGCAACCCTGACATTAAAAAGTTTGTAGGTAACCACTATGCCAGAGTACAAGAATGGGTCAAGATTCAATATGGTCTAGTCACCTGCAACCTCAATCCACCAGGATTTTTTTTTTTTATAAATTAGACGAAATTTATAATCTTTTAAATGTGAATAAGATTCCAAAGAAAAATGATTATTGTTAATCATCATTACATGCTACTATTTCCATTAGAGAAGGTAAAAAAAATGAAAACTTCACATAGTTTTCACAAACGTAGACCTCGAATGGAAGTGGTAGCATCTAGCACCTGAAAAGAGACCCAATTGTATTGGCTTGGACCTCACCATTTCAGATATGGTTACAAAATACTTAAACAGTCTAAGGGGAGCTTTAAAAGACTTTGGAGAAAATGAATATTTACTAGAATGTAAGCTCCATGAGCAGAGATGCTTGTTTTGTTATTGTTCACTGCCATAGTCCCAGAACCTACAAAAGTGCCAAGCATAGGTAGAATAGGTGCTCAAATGAATAATTCTTTTGTTTTTAAGGATTATTTGTTTTATTTGTTTGTAGTAACAAAGGATATCTAGATAGATTATTAAGCAAAAAAAGCAAGTTTTTACATATGTGTATGAATCATTTTTTAAATTAAATTTATTGGGGTGACATTGGCTAATAAAATTATATAGGTTTCAAGTGTACAATTCTATAGGACATCATCTGTATATTGTGTTGTGTTCACCACCTAAAGTCAAGTCCCCTTCTGTCACCATATATTTGACCCCCTTTACCCTTTTCTACCTACCCCCCCACCCCTACCTCTCTTTCTCTGGTAACCAATATACTGTTGTTCATGTCTATGAGTTTTTGTTTGTCTTGTTTGTTCCTTCCAGTTTTATATGAATAATTCTTAGGAATCCTTTGTAACATGAAGCATCCTTTCCATGTCATGCCATATATTCATGGGCTCACGGGATGATAGTGCAGGTAGAGACTTAGAAATCTCACAGTGGGCCATCTTTATCATTTTAGAGAGGGAAAACTAAGGCCCAGAGAGAATAATGCTTTGCAATGGGTCACACAGGTTGCCTTGCCTGACTCCTAGGTTTGTGCTCTGTACACAGGCCTATATTTCTCTCAAGGACTTTGAAAACTACAATCATATAAAGATGCCCCATGCATGTGTTTTGACAACTTTATGGTGTAGCTCAGTAATAACAGGTATTTACATGATTATATTTATTAATAATGCCTCTAGGTGTTGTGCTATAAGTTGACAAATATAGGTGTGGTTTTCAAATTATTTTGACAGTTACATGTCTGCAGAAAGTAGGTATTCTAAATGGTCCACAAGAAAAATAAACTGCTAAGTGGGAGAGTTCCTTAAGAATTTTAACACATCTGATTTCGATTAGTTGGACTGAGACAGTAAAATAAAGTGGGAGTGGGGATGGCCAGATTTCTGCCTTCCATATTCTTCCCTCTCCAGAGCAGCAGGGGAGAGCCATCAGTGTGGACACACTCCATGATTTTAGAGGAGTCCATATTGGAGGAGCAAAAATCTCTCCCTCCTCTGCAAATATTCTATATAGCAGGACTTTCCAAACCTGGTTGCATCGGCCTGGGGAAGCATGTTAAAATGCAGATTCCTGGTGATCTCCCCCATAGACTCTTCCGTTGTCACGGCGATTAGGCCGGAATCTGTATTTTTCCTCATGTGCATCAGGTGATTCTGATCCAATGAGGTTTGAAAAGCCTCATCTCTAAGGCCCCTTCAAGCCTGCCCCCTCCAACAGCTCAGCAGTCGTCCATCCATCCACCCCTCATTTCCCTTCTGGTTGGTTTTTCCTGAATCCCCACACCCAGCAGCCTTTGTTTCTCAGGATCCTCCCACTTCTCCCTCCATTTAAATTTTTTTTGGGCTTCTAGTTTTCTCTCCAGATATAGACTAAAATACTGTATTACTTTCTCATATTGCTATATTCCCATTGTCCGCCACATCTAGCCTTTATTCCTCCCTCGAAGCTCCCTTCCTCCCATGGAACCTCCTTGTTCACCTTTCAGCTTTTCCCCGTCTGCCACACACAGTGCGCGCGCACATACCAAACACATGCCAGACACATACCTGACATATACCACATTCCAAGTAACGCGTGCGCGCGCACACACACGCCTGACAAGCCACACACACTGACTAAGCACACGGAACGCACACTCACATCACTCACCCCCACATGATGTTTCTACCTGCTGCTAATCCCATCTCCCTTTTCTTCTCCCACACTGTCACATTCCACCATGGCTACACCTGGAGTCATCCACCTTCGCGTCCTCTCCAAGGCTGGACCTCCCTCCTCCCGCTCTCCCACCATGCCTCCCTCAAGACACCCACATTTCCTTTCTCCAGCCCGACACCACCCCCTCCTTCCAGGAACCCCCAAATCCGATACCTTTGAAACTCCTCTAACACTGTGTTTTGCTGTTCTCTCTACACCCTTTCCAGCCTCGAGACCCATCCTTGGCTTAAGTGCGTCAGCCTCTGCACCCTCCCATCCCTGCGCTATCAGCGCGAGGTCGGGAATCTGCGTACCCCACTGGCCCGCACTCTTCTGGAGGGCCCCCTTGCCCCCCGCCCGCCGGGGGAGCCGCCCTGCCCCCACCGCCTGGCTCTCCGCTGCCTGCCCTCACTGGCTCATCGCTATTTCTCCCCCGGGGGGCGCCCTGCTCCCCCTTCGCCCCTCCCGGATCTAGCCCCGTGCCAGGGCCCCTTCTTTTGTCTCCACGCCCCTGGGGCCTGCAGCCGTACCGGGCCCGTAGAACTTGCGGCCTTTTGTCACGTCAAACACCTTGCCGTTAATGGCCATGAGTATGCGCGGGTCCTGGACGCCGTCGAAGCGCCGCAGCTCGGCGGGGGTGAAGTCGCGCCGCTTAAGGCGGGGCAGCGGGGGCGGATCGTCGTCGTCGCTGTCGCTGCCGGCCGCCGGCTGGTCCCCGCGCACAATCTTGTAGAGCAGGAAGATGCAGAGGCCGAGCAGCAGCAGGTTGAGCGGCGACGTGAAAATCTCGTTCAGCAGCCCGCCCTCCAGCTCGCTCGGGTCGGCGCCCGTCGCCACCACATCCTCGGCAGCCATGATCAGAGGAGCAAAGGTTGGACAGGGATGAGGGAAGGCTCCGGAAATCGGCTTTCTCCTCCCTCTCTGCGATCTAGTGGCGCGCAGGGCTCGGCGGACAAATACTAGTAGGGGAGGAGGCGGGGCTGGGCGGGGCGAAGGCGGGCCCGAAATAGGCGGAGCCTCACATTCCTGCCTCTCCCAAGCCCACGGAAGCGCGCGGCCCCGCTGAGTTCAACCCCGCCCAGCTCAGCCTCTCCCTCTCTCCACTTTCATATGGACGGCGGCTTCCTTCTCCCAGCCCTATCCGTCCTCCCCAGCTGCGGAGAGAGCCTGGCCCACATCTCAGTTCCACCTGCGAGGCCCCAGACCCCGCCTGACGCCATACTCAGGCCCTCTTCGGCCTTGCAGCGACGCAGGGCGCAGCTCCGCGCACCCTGCTTGCTCCTCGCGCACACACTCCCTCAGAGAGCCTTGGTCTGCTGGGATCCCCGTCTGAGGCCCCGTCCACCACCTGATGAGCGCCAAACACCGACTCCATTTTCCTTGTTTTAGCCTTCTCTCTGGCTTACAATCCGAAGCCTCATCTTTACCCGGCCATATCCCGGGACCATGAGGCTTTCTTAGGAGACAGAAAACTCACTCCTCTAGCTCCTTTTCCTACCTTTGAGACCCAGCCTACCTATTTGCACTTTAGAAACCCCCATTCACTCTCCTGACGACCCTTCTCCAATACTCCCCCCAGATGCCGTGGGGCAGACACCCCTGGGATGGCTAAAGTCAGTGCACAGGCCCCTGTCTGACATCTCCCCCGATATCTAGGGAAACGGATGGGATTGCCCGATTTATTCTGTGTTCTTTCTCAGAAAACTAAACCCTTTTGCAGTCATTGATTTGTTCAGTCTCAGCACATCAACAAGCAACGTTCTGTTGCGCTTTTTTTT